TAATGACCATAAAATCCCCTTTCCAAAATGATCTGTCATTTCTCAAGGCATTTCCCTTTCTTTCCCTTTCTCTCTCTCTCTCTCTATTTATGTCAATCCGAATATTATTTTCGCGAACAAACGTATTCTTTTTCCTCCTTCTCATTTCTCCTTTTCGAAACATAAAGAAAAGATCATCGACACTGATATTTCTTTGCTTTAAGATAAAAAAGCAATAAGAAAAACTCAGAAAAGAAATGTTTTCCTTGCTCTTTTCTTTATTTTCTTCTTTATTTTCATTCTCTTTTCAATGGATCTCTTGCGTTTTTGAGGAGTCAATCATTGATACAAAATCTGAAAAATTCTTCTTTTCATCATCATCATTTTTCTTCAATTCTTTAAAATGTTCATCTTTTAACCTATTTTTAAAATTCTTCTTTTTAAGTAGAAATATGCACGAAGAGAAATCGTGTGATCGATGTCTGAACTCACTGCGCAATTGCTGTTGCTGGATTTTACTCGAGAAATGGCTCTTTGACGAGAAATGCGGTAAAACGAATGGGTTTTCTGATTTGAGAAAAGACTAGGAATAGGAAAGACTTGGAAAGTTTTTGGCTTCTTTATGATTTGTTCGGAGTGAAGACAAAGAGCTTAAAAGTGCTTGAGCTTACGAGTTAAATGAAGTTATTGTTATTTTAAAGATAACTTGAATAATTGTGGCAAATATTGGAACTTATCTGAGCATTACAAGCTCTATTGTAAGAATAAAGTTAATGAGAGTCTTTGCAGAATGAAAGATCTGCGGATTTGTGCGGTCCATTAGGGTTAGCGGAATCTGAAAAAGAAAGGGTAAAAAGGTGAGAGTGAGTGAATGACCTAGTCGTCGCTTGTTTCTTTTCCAGAAATCCCTTCTCAATCCAACCAAACACTGACCATTGTCCCTTTGGTGAGAAGAGAGAACAATGATAATGTTTTTTTTTGTAACAATAATAGTTCTTCGCTTTCTTAAAAAATTAGCAACTTTTCTTGAGCAATTTTTAGAATTATTTCTTGAAACCTTTTACGATTCTGATATTTTAACAGTACCCTCACAGTACCGATCTATTTTTAGTGTATAACTGTCAACAGGATTGAGTTGTTGGGTCAACAACTCAATCCTGTTAACCATTCTCAACCATATACTTAAACTTTTCTAATATTTCCCTATTCCCCAAAAATCCAGATCGTTAACCATCCGGTTGATGTGTCTGTTGTGCATAAACGGGCTCTCTCCTCCACATCCCGATTAGCCGAGTGACGGGGATTATCTTCTGTGAACTCCCATTCCTTTCCCTTTTCTTTTATCTTCTTTTCTTTTCTTTACTTACTCAACCAATCTCTTTTCTTTTAACCCACAAGACGGCCTTCAAATACGGTAATCGAAAGACCCTTTGTGACAGCCGACCATTGGGGAAGAGTGCAAAAGAAGGATGAATGTGTGGGAAACACACCATCGATGGACAGGAGTTGACTCTCATCATTACTGCTTCATCAAATTGTTATTTTTAAAAGATTTAGTGGAATTGGTTATACTAAATACCATATTTAAAAACCTGTAGCCTCAACATTTGCTAGTTCCGATTTTCCAGTCTCCTCATTGGTTCATTTCAATTAAAAGAAATCTATTAGAGGCCTCATTTCCCTCAATTTTTCACAAGAATTGTCATGAATGAAAAGAAAAGAGAAAGATCTCTCTGTTCGCCTCAAGAAATAGATACCATCTCTCTCAAAAAGGGATTCCGATGAGGAAAAAAAGAAGTGGAAAATGGGAATCATCTTCATTCAGTCTTGGATTTTTTTATTTTTTATTTTGATTTACAAATCAACCCTGTACAAGTTTTGCCCTTTGGCAGCTGAGTTGTCCCTTGTTTGCATCACCTCCACGAAATGTGTCTATAAAGAAGAAGTCCAGCTCTATTTGCCCGTAAAAATTCTTTGAAACATCAAATATTGCTACTTTGTAGCCTATGTTGGTCGTAGATCAAACGTTTTTTTTACGAAAAATAAACCCTCCCTAGTCAAACCTAATAAAAAAAACCCTCCCTAGTCTCCCTAATAAACCCTCCCTAGTCAACATCACTCATTTTAGTTCAACTATTTCGTTCAAATTCCACAAGTCAATTTAAAAACAAAAAGGTTAACGGATTTTTTTATCTAAAGAAAGAGTATCTTTTTGGTGGTCTATTCAGAAAGTGATTCACTCCGTATTGAGCAGAGGAGAAGGGGAAAGGGTGAAGGACTATCAAAATGAGGAGAGAAACAGAGAAATCGTCGATTTCATATGTGAATGATAAGCTGACAAACAAGGGTAATCGATAATTGAATGGAAAAGGAGGAAGAGAGACTGGGAAGGGCTGCCCATTTCCGGTCGAGACACCCTCCCCCTCACGTACACGATTTTAGAGATAGATCTTCTCCCCTCTTTCTCTAGATTTTCTATTGATTTTCCTCCTTGTTCGTTCTTTTTTTAGAGATTTCTTATCGATTTTCTTTGACTGTTTTGGACAAAATTTCCCTGAGTTGGATTGATTTTGATCGCCTTCTTTGGATTGATTTTGGACTCCAAATGGAGCTTCATTTCTCGTGAAATTCTCAAATTTTTCTTTCTTTTTCACTTGTTTCCTATCTTCATTCTGCATTGAAATTTTAAAAATGCTCAATCGTTTTTTCCCGAAAGCTTCATCGAATTCCAAATATACATTCTAGAGAAATTCTAGAGAATTCTGAAAATTTTGTGTAAATCAAATCTACACCTTCATTCGTTTTATGAAAAACGATGAGCTTTCCAAATAATCTCTATCCATATGAACCGACTTATATTTTGTTAGGTAAATGGAAAGTTTGCTTTTTGAACAATTTTGAAGTACACTGTTATCAATTGATTCGGAGAAAGAGGAAGCACGTCACTTTCTTTTGACCTTTCCACTTTTAACTCTGAGAAATTCGGAGAGATTATAGATAGTGTTTCCAAGCTTTTCACAGCTTTTTTCAAGCTTTTCTTCAAGCTTCAAGCTTTAGCTTTTTTTGTTAGCTACAAGCTTTAGCTCAAGCTTTTTTTGGGATTTCGTTTCAGATCACTAGGCAAGGTTTATTCTCCATTACTAGATCTTCAAGCTTTATTCTCGTTCCTGTTGTCTGGATATCAGAGTCTTTGTCCCTTCCATCCTTCCACCCCATTTTGTTTATCCGAAAGGGTAACGGTTCTCGTTTCATTCCCTTTTTTTTCATCAAGAAGAGATTTCTTATGAAAGTTTTCGATTGACCTTTTTGTCTGTCTTTTTCTTTTTTTTTGCTTGACTTATATGGAAAGGATCAAAGCGATTGAGAAGGTCATCGGAAGGGGAAAATAAAAAGGGGAAACGAGAATGTGAATATGAAATGAATAAGGAAAAGAATAGAATAAGGTTGAAGACTTTTCAACAAACAATCAACATCAAGATCAATACTAATCTTATGAAAACAATTATTTGATGACCTTGAGAAGTTTGCGATGTTTGATTTGAAATGATAGAGTTGTTTTGAGATAAGAAATTTGTGACTATCACGAGCATTTCACATATGTGCGGAGGATTTTGTCACGGGATTTACTTGTTCTATCAATCAATGGGCAGCTAGTTATGTCTAGATTTACTTTAGTTTTTGGCTTTGGTTCTTTTTACTTTAGCTTTTGGCTTTAGTTCTTAAACTAAAATTCCTGCTTGTGAGTTCTCTACCAAGTTGTTCATTTTCCTCATAACTTTATCTTATTGTAAGCACCGTATCAAAGCAGTTTTAAACCTGAAATCATTTCTTTTCAAAACTTATGGATCATCGCTATTCTTGCGAAGATCAAGTAATAACTGGGAATTGGGTATAAACGAATTCCTAAGCTCGAATATGAAACGGCGATCATGGCGTCCAGGTGAATGGTTTGTCCAAAGAAAATGCATAGACAAGGTCATCTGAAGTCCCTTTGAAGGCTTCCTCCTCTTTTCTTCTTAAATCTTTTTCTGAATTCTCTTCTCTCGATCTTTTTTCCCTTTGAAATCCCTTCCGATTTCCTTACCTAACTGCGCCAAATTGTTCCGTTTTCCTCCCAAAAAAATAGCCCATAAAATCCGGCAACCTTATGGTGTTCCTTGTGAAAAAGTCAATGTGGGTAACATGTTATTTTTGGAGAGATTTCATTCAGATTATGAAAATAATTCTAAAAAGGCAAGTGTATATTGGTACTTCTATTTAGCCACAAAGCATCATCATTTACATGTAGCCTATGAAACTAATTTGGCGCAGTTAGGTAAGGAAATCGGAAGGGATTTGAAAGGGAAAGCTGGCGTAAGCTATAAGCGCCATAAGCTTTACAAAGCACAATATTATCTAACTTTTCAATGTAAAAATTAGCCTAGTTTAGGCTAAAACTTTCAGAATTTCTGTAGACAAAACTTTGGTTACTTTGGTACCTACCGTATTTGGTTCACTTTTTCCCCTATTTACTGAAAGAGCATTTGAAACAAAGTGATGAGAAAAAGAAACCGCAAAGGAGACAGCAAAAGGAAAAAAAGCAAGCAAAGTTTTCCTTGTCATGGGTATCGTTTGTGTTTGGATGGATACATGAAGAACTTTTCGGGAATACAGAAGGGAAGAGAAAAGAGAAGAGAAAAGAGAAGGCGGTGAAGTGCTTTGATCTCATCTCCACCTCTTTCACATTTACGCGCGATTGAATGCCGCCTTGAAACCCCAAATTCATCCAAATTTCTTTCTCGAGTTACCGAAAAAACGAAAATTTGCAAAGAAAACTGCACTTGGGCCTAAATCTGAAAGAATACGGTCACTTATTGCGCACGAAGTTTGGGTGTTTGCGTCTTCCCCTTTGCCCTTATACTTCTCAGGATTACTGTAGCTTCTCTGGATCACTTTTCTGAATGATTGAACAATTGACATTTCTAGGAATTGAAGATTGAAACTAGTTTACTGAAAACTTGTAATTATTGACAAGATTTCAGAGCCGAATCGCCAATCTCGGATACTCCCCGACGCGACGAGCTCCTTTTCAACAACAAACGGTTTGTCCGACATTTTCTTCATTTTAATCTAGAGAATATGCAAATCTTGATATTTTTATTGAATACTTTCAATATTTTTCATTGTTTTATTACATCTATCATTGATCATACTATCTGTTGTACCAAAATCGTCACTGCATTGTAATGCCTGACTACAGCGGGTTTTAGCAAGCTGTAAAACGTATACAGTAATTCTCATCTTGTAAATAGCTCCTTAAAACGCGCTTCTTCAATCCGGGAACTGGTCAAAAGCTATCAAGACTCACGGAGAAAAAGAGATTTCCTACAAGTCTTGCTTCTTCTTTTTCTCTTTCTCCCTTTTTTTTTGCTCATTTCAAGACTCATCATGAGAACTAGACTGAGAGAATGAGATTCTCTTCCTCAGAACCCTCAAAAACCTCAAAATGCTCACTTTCCCAAGATCGAGACCTATAACTGGTGGACCAGAATAGGGGACAATTGGCTTCCCCTCGAGGAAAACGAGAAATTGTGGGGGAATTCGACTGAGACTTTGACTGAGACTTTGACTGAAGACTGACTTTTCGCACAAGTGAACTGACCGGTTCTTCTCCCCTTTTCCTTCATTGAAGACACTCTCCTCTTTTCATTACATGAGCCGGGACTCGATCGCGCAATGTCCGGCTCCCCTCTCCACCACACACTCGTTTCATCGTAGCTTATGGTTTCTTCTCTAATTTCTTGTGCAGTTTTTATATTCATAAAAGGTTCAGGGTTCATTTCTGGTATTTGATTGGGGATACAGAGGCTAGTACTGATTTTTTTTTGGGATTTCGTTTCAGATCACTAGGCAAGGTTTATTCTCCATTACTAGATCTGACGATCATCTCCTGCAAAGTGTAATCTCCCTTGAATTTCTTTCTAGATTTCCTGGAGCTAAAGATTGTATAAAGTGTTTTTTTAAAGGAATATCTTGTTATGAGTTTGATAGATTGAAGCAGAAAAATGGCTAGTTTTTTGGTATAGTTTCATAAGTTTCATAACTATACCAAATTTTTCTGGAATTTTCCAAAAACTCGATCTTGAATCCGTTTCACATCTTGTTATGAGTTTGATAGATTGAAGTAGAAAAATGGATAGTTTTTGGTATAGTTTCATAAGTTTCAGTTAACTATACCAAAAACTATCCATTTTTCTGCTTAAATCTATCAAACTCATAACAAGATGTGAAACGGATTCAAGATCGAGTTTTTCTCAAGTGGTTGCGGGGGAAAATGAGGATCAGTTTGAGGGGGAAAAGGGGAAGTGAACGAGAAGTGAACGAGAAGAGATCAAGACTTGTCGAGACCACAAAAAAAAGAGAAAGCCGCTTTTTGAGAAAGAGGAGGAAAGGGTCATTTCAGACCTCAAAGAAGGGACCATTATTGGATGTGAGCACATTATTGGGGGCGGTTCTCGGGGAAAAGACCGTTCATCGGAATGGGAAAAGGGGAGATTCTGACAAAGAGAATCGAGGACTTGATTCCTTTTGTGGATTGGGGAGGGTGAAGCTCTTCCACTCCACAAATCAGATCTCTTCTCGATCTCGATCCACTTTCTATATTCTATACTTTAAACATTCTAATATTTAATTTCATTTCAAAACCGTGTCCCTTACAAATCACAGCTCCAGTCCAGTGAAAGTTTTCATTAAATCCAATGCAATTGTTTTTTCCTGTCTCGCTCAACTCATCTTGAATGACCGTACTCAAGTACTCAAGTATTAAAGTGCTTTACTTTACAAGTACAGTACATTACAGTACTGGATTACAGCTTTCAGATTCATTATAAGATGAAGTCATGACTTTATCCCTGGACCTAGAAATCGAAAGTTATTCATCCCTGATATCACTCAAATCTTCCCCAAAGAAAGATAGATGACCGGTAGAGGAAAGGAGAACTGTTCAGAGAGAACTGTTCAGGGAAAACAGATATCATCTCTTCTTCCTCATTCTCTTACTCTTCTCGATTCTTTGAGAGATCGCCGTATATTATTCTCCTTCCTTTGCATTATCTTCCCCACCGGTGCCTCCATAAAAATGGTTGTCATCGCTTGGGTGCCAAGGTTATCATAACCTTTTCTTTACCTTCTTTCTCTTTGCTTTTCAAGAATCCCAGTCATCGTAAATCTAAAGAGTTTACCGTTTTGCTCCCGGGTGAATGAGATAAAAGAAAGGAAAGAATTTGCTGAGTAGTTAGTATGATTAGGATGGTAGTATCGTATTGTAGCAAGAGCTTAGAAAGAAGTGATTCCATTAAGATTAACAATTGCAAGATTATCGTTGAATTCAAGCCTTCTTCAGGTTAAAAAGTAGCTCATTTAGTGCAAAATTTTGGTTACAAACTTTGGTTACTTTGAAAAGAGCTTTCTATTAGCTTGATCTAGTCAAAAATCAAAATCATATTTCATCCTAAATTTTATTTTAGATTAACTTCTGCTCCAAAAACAAGTTCCGATTTAAACTGGGATTATTTGATTATAAATAAGATTTACCTACCGTAAATACTGTAATAGTACCCCACCCCCCTCGTACAGTCGCGTAGTCGCAAAAATTTTTTAGTATTTCATCTTTTTTCAAAGCGCCCGTACTTTCAAAAAATGGCCCTGATTTTCAGCTTTCATTTGATACTTAAGCACACACTGTAGCATAAAAGAGTGGCGAGAAAAATGCGTTTAAAGTTAGACTACGCGACGCTCCGACCGTCATTATAGGGAAGCGTAGTCACAAAGTTTTTTAGTATTTTTAGTATTTTTTGCAAAGCACCCGTACTTTCAAAAAATGCGTCTTTGGTATCGAAAAAATAGCCCTGAAATTCAGGGCTATTTTTCGATACCTAAGCCCGCATTGTAGCATAAACCAGTGTTGAGAAAAACTCGTTAAAAGCTAGACTACGCAACACTTCCGCACCGTCATTGTTGGGGGTGGGGTACTATTACAGTATTTACGGTATCTAATAATGATTGCAAATAGTTTATCTCGCTGATCTAAATCTAAATCCAAAAAAATATTTAGCAAAAATATTAGAAAAGATACGGATACTTTGAATTACTGAGAAAAAAATAGAAAAAAAATCAAATAACAAATGAAAAGTTTAAATTTGCATATAAACAAATGTACATAACTATAAGAGCTTTTTTTGAAGAGCACGTTACAAATCGCTTTATCGTTTTTTTTTTGATCCAATGCTGGGATGGCTCGCTTTAGAAAGGAACACACTCTAATCACAAATCTAGTCCGAAAAAAGTGTTTTCCTCCAAACGAAAGCGAGTGTCACAGTTTGACAACGAGACCCACTTAATCGATCGACGAACCGTTCTCACTGTCGTTTAACCACAAAAGACATGAATGACATTGCAAAAGAACGGTTTCTTTTTTTTTCATTGTCTTTTTCCCTCAAATCCTTAGCCTCATTTCCACAATCTCCATCGACTTTTCCCCTTCTCTTTTCCCCTCAATCCCAGTTCTTTTTTTTTGTCCAAATTCATTACAACTTCCGCTTTTTCCTTCCCATTTTTTCACTTCTCCCTACCCGAATCGAAACAATACCACATGTGCATTTTTTTGGCTCTTTCATGAATTTTTTTAAAGCTTAACCTGTTTTGAGAAAATTATTGACAAAAGAAAGTTTAACCTAAGCTTTGTTTTGTCAATAATGTTCTCAAAACAGTTCACCCAGTTGGCTCACTGTTTATCGCTTTTTTTTGATCCAAATCCAATGCTGGGATGGCTCACTTTTTCTGAAAAAACTCCAATTCATTAGCGTGCGACTCAACCCGAGTTTGACCACCATTTTCCCACGTTATCATCACTGGTTTTTCTGTGGTACCGAAAATTTGATCAAGACTATTCCAAGTACTGTATTGGTATTGCATTAGTTTCTAGTTTAGAAAGATTAATTTCAAGATTGATTGCTCTGAGCTAACCTCCAAGTCTAGCGTTAATGCCATTTTTCAGAATCGAACTGAAAAAAGTAAAACGGGGTAGAGCCGTTTGCAAGTCTGTAAGTTCACTTAAGAAACTGATTGTTGATTCAATTCAAATGACGATCACCGATTTGATCTAGTGTCACACGTGTAAAAAAACCGGAATCATTTTTCCTTACTTTTCGGGAATATGTTCCCCTTTTTCTTGAGCACACCATTGAGATGGTGCTCCGGTCTCTTCTCAATGGGATATCCCTTTCCCCTTCTCTTCTTTCTTTCTTTCTTTCTTTCTTTCTTTCTTTCTTTTCCCCTCTCATGCATAATGCGAACGGTGGGAATAGCTCCTAACCACAAAAACCACCTCCTTTTCTTTTCCTTTCTCTTCCTTTTCTTTTTCTCACCGAAATGCAAATTCCAGTGATGTCTATTTACTTGAATACCGAGAGTTTTTCGCAATTTTTGGTTAAAGATATCTTTTCAAAAAGATTTGAATCAGCTTGTTTTCTTGAAGTTTACTCTTCGGTAGATTTCTTGCCAAATTTTGGCTTATGCTACAATGCGCGCTTAGATCTCTTGATAGATCTCTTGCCAAAAAGACAAAAATCACTCTTTATGGTTCATACTTAGACTTCTCATAGATATTCTATGAGTAAGAGACAACTTCTTCACCAAAAAATACCGAATGGCACTTCTTGTGAAAAAAAAATTGTAGAAAACTATCAAAAGAAACAAGCGGAAGCCAAAAGGGGAACATGCAAATGAGGAAAAAAAGGGACGGTATATTTGGAGAAGAACAGAGAAGAGGAAGGGCATCATTGGCTCCTTCTTTGTGGTTCTCTTTGTGCTCAAAACGGTCACACAAAAAGAACCCCTTCCTTTCCTTGTTAAAAGTGACACTTTGAGCGGCAAATTCCCCGGATCCGAATCGACTTTCCAACAACAAATTGCACTTTCCTTTTCTTCAGAACTTTTAAGTTAACAAATCAATGTTGAGAATTGTTTCAGCTTGCTTATCATTAGAGTTACTCTTTTTTTTCTTGACTCTTTCGTCGACTGAATAGCTTTTAAGCTTACTTAT